ACGCCACAACAAAACGATGTTGGAGGAAATACTCAAGAGAGGATATGACATCAACACAGTGGAGCCGGGCGTGAACTTGCTGACGTTTGTACCTCCCATAGTACCAGTATATGAGAAACATGACACTGATCTTCTCAAACAGGCTATCCACTGGACACATTGAGTGGATGGAGGTGCTGTTACAACACGGAGCAGACCCCAATGTCAAAGATTCGAGGGGATGGACGGCGCTTCACTCGGCTGTGACCGAGCCATCGCTGAAATCCTGTCAGCTCCTCCTTCACCATGGTGCTATATTGCCAGCAGACATACTCCAGTCTGCCATAGATTCTGATCACGCAGATACCAGAATGGACATGGTCAAATATCTCATTGACAAAGGGGCTCAACTCAACCATGTCCGCGACATCAAAATAGGCTACAAGATCTGGCAAGGATCTCCTCTACATGTTGCCGCTGGTACAAATCGACTTGACATTGCTCAGCTTTTGCTGAATGCAGGGGCAGATCCCAGGGTCAAGTACTGGGACGATACGCCGGCCGACACAGCCAAAGAGTTTGAATACATGGAACTGTATAATCTGCTTAAAACAGATTCAGCCCCCGAAGTATCTACTTCTTGATGAACCAGAAAGAACGAGGTAGAATGTCTGTCCAACAAGCCCCCACCGCACAGAGATAGCCACGGGAGGCTTCACTAGATACATACTACCTAATTCGATACTCAGTCGCCGTAACAGATGGATGCGACCTGAGATCTCGTTCGAGATATAAATTTCAATGCAAGTTCTGCTTGTAAAGCCTGGATTTCTATGACAAGAAGTTGTCTTTCAACATATCAACATCAAATTATCAGTGACGGCAATTTGCGTGCAACTCATATCCATTTGAATTCTTTGCATATCACAATTTCGTAAGCGCCCAAAATTCCACCCAAACGAACAAAATTACTAAATTATGATTGTTCTGAGGATACTTGCTCGCTTTCAAATGTCTCCGAATGTCTCTGTCCCGGCCTTCGGCCTGCTGCTGCTCTTAGTAGCAGTAAGCGCTTTTCCATCGGCGTGGTCACTTGGTACGTGATCCGCAAAGCACCCCTCTCATAATGCTAGATGCCTTGCGACTGAGACTAACCTGGCGTTCTAGATTCTCATGTCATGAGACTGTCGTCCTTAGATTGGCCACGGTCTACTCCTGTCCGGCGAGATGTCGAGCCTTTCACCCGTTACCAAAAGCGCGATGATGATCAGGATACCCAAGATACCTGCAATCCATTCTCCATGATTCAAAACCTCCATGAGCCGATCCATAGCCTTGATACTCAAGGATTCAATGTCTCCTTGGCTAAAAGGGTCAATTTGGAAGTCCCTGGTGATGACACAGACATGGATGTGTGGATGAGAGAACGCGCTGAAACCACGAAACCAATTGTTTGGGAAGTCAGCCCAGGAACCGACGCCAACAAAGCAATTTTCCGAAAGTTTGGGAGGAATTCTTTTAGCCTCGGAACGAACGGTCTTTGTGGGTGCAGTTCACTGTGGATCATCAGCAGAAAAGGGGTGTATGCCACTCACTATTGGGAGAGTATCTCATTTGCGCCTGAGAAAGAATGGATCAACCCGGGCGAAACCAATGCTGAGGTTTTCGAACGCACTGTCATTGATGGTCTCAAAAGCGGAACCGCTGTCAAAGGCAAGCCAATGCAGGCTAGGCTCGACAGAGACGAGATTGCGGACGACCATATCAAGGCTTATCTTGTTCATCCTCAACGAACATGGAAAAACACGCCCGCCGCTGTTGATGGTTATAGAGTGCAATGGAATAGGATCAAAGACACCGTGAAAGCCATCATACCGGAGCTGGCGTCAGATGACAAATGGGAAGAAGTCATCTACAACCGGTTACGTGGGAACGACCGACAACTGTTTGAAACTGCACTTGGACATGTGTTGTTCCAGTTTTCCCCCGATGATCAAGAGAAAAGGAAGGCTGCTCTATGGGTTGAGAGACGGAGGCAACCATACCATGACGACGCCTGGGAGTAGGCACGGTAAAGACATTCGAAGCGAGTGTTGTTGAGCCCTAGAAACTGAAATCCCACAACAAATCGGCGTGAATAAGACCAAGGATTGTAGGGCTTTTACCGGTTTGCTGTTGGCTTTTATTATCTTCTATCGTTTCATGGTGTGTTTAGTCATTGGTAGCTGTGCGACGGTGTTTTTAAGTGAAATATTGAGCTTCTCAAAAGTGGTTATCAGGATCCTTGAACATCACAGCCACAATTCAGATTACTCGCTACGGAGGATACCTCATTAGGAAGGTGAGCTCAGGTGTACCGGTCCCAGTACAATTCTTCAATCAAGGTACCCTAGATACACGGCTTATCAGACCGCAGAGGCGCACTGATTCCAGGACCATCCCGTTGGTCGTTCTCACAATCAGCATTTGTAACGAGATAAAGCTACTGCTTGTGTTGTCGGAAGCGCAGCAATGCTGAGGGCAGACATCAAGTGAGCTACTATCTTTTTCGATAAAAGAGCTTTTGTCCCAAGGTCCAAATGCAATTTGCTTACCCAGAATTGATGCCCCTCATAGCCTCCCATTCACTTTCCAGGATTCCATAGCTGATCATGTCATGCCATTGTCGATTAAACCAGTAAGACTCACGGCTGCGGCCCTCTTCCACGAAACCAAGCCTCTTGTACAGGTGCTGAGCTCGCTCATTGTAAGACACAGTCCCAAGGTGAACCCTATGGTAGTTCCCATACCGGAAGGCCCAGTCGAGAGCCCAGTTGATAACTTCGGTCCCGTAGCCCTTTCCTTGATACTGTGGTGCTATCGCGATCCCGAGGCCGATCGAGCGGTGATGGGCCATTGCCGGAGGAATCCCACCCCAGCCGATCGCTAGGTATCCTATGGGCTTTGGCGCAGTCGTCTTCGCTTCGTCATCTTCCTCGTCGCCGTCGCCAGAAGTATCTGCTGGAAGGCAGACCATGACAGAGAGAACAGATTTGGCCATTTGCTCAACCATCCACTCGCTATGCTTGCTGGTCCTCGGCATCAGCGCCATCGGGTTTGAGAGGGCGACGGTCACTGGGTCATTCTCGATTTGAGTATGGAGGAACTTCTTGTCCTCGTCGTTGTTTTCCACGGCCCTGAAGATAAGCCGTTCGGAGCGATAAGCGCCTTTCAGGTCGTCAGTGAGCATGGTGGTTGTTAAAGTGTGCTCGTGGTGTCGCAACAAATATGACTGTTCGAAACAATTGTTAAAGGGGACTACTCAAGGTACTGCTTAAAGTCTGAAATCAATTTTTTGTGCAATGACTGAGCCGACCCATACCCTTATGTCTACACGGTCCACGGCTGGGAGTGGATTCCTTTTGCGTTCAAAGAGTCCGAGTCATCCTATCACGAGCTACTAAGCTTACATGTACGTTCAAGCTGACGTCTAGCCCCAACAAAAGTTCCGTTAATGCCTGAGGGGGGCGCCCCTCCTCCCATTAGCCCCATCCCCAAACGTCCTGAGAATATTTGAACATGACGCCAGGAGCTTATCTCGAGAGATTTCTGCGCGCTCATTGTCTTCCGTTGTTGGAAATTGCACATTATCAACTTAACATACCAAGGACTCATGGGTCCTTGGGCAGTAACGCACAGGGAAATCTCTATAGCTCAACTAAAGCCAGAGGACAATTCAGTGGAAAATATTTAGGCAGATATTTACCGAGACTTCAGGTTGCCTGCCGATTTGTCCCTGATTAACATTCGGCGATGCATCCTGCTGAGGTGTTGTCATGGAATGTGATTCAAGTGCTTAAAACAGCTCACTTGATTGATGTATGGCTGGAGTGCTTTTTTTCACCTCTGCCGAAATCACCGTTTACTAGGTCAACACATACTACGGTTCCAATAGAGAACCGCGTTCTGGGGCGGGCACCCAAAGCGTCTTGATAGACTTGGATGAAGCTGTTAGTGCTCCCTTGCCTGCGTAGTAGATGGAGGCATTGCTTGAAAGCTCAGCTCGTAAAAGTAAATGCCGTCGGTCTAAACTTGGAAAGAAGTCCACACCCATGAGCAGCCCGACTTGTCGTTAACATAGCATGCGTGTTGAGAAGGGGGCTATTTGACGCATTGACTTCTAAGTTCTTTAAATTTTGCTAGAATTGGTTCGAATTGTGAGCTTTCTCTCGTTTGTTTGGAGCTGTTACCTCTTGACAGAGTATCAAGATCCATATACCTATAATATTGGCAGAATGAAAGGAAGCACGTGTTAGGGGCCAGGCGACATCTTTGGCGTGGCAGAATCAAAGACACAGCTGTTGTATCTGAAGCTAGGTTCCAGGACTGAAATCTTCCTTTTCTCAATTTATAACGTGGAGTTCAGTCCTTTATTATCTTTCCCTTCTCGTCTCCTTGATACTCATCCAATACTAGACTTCGCTGATGCTCGCTGTCCACTGATCAATAGTAGAAGTTGAGAACTTGACACGTGGACTGCTAGGTTCTACACCCCACGGCAACTGTCTGTGGAATGCTCACATATTTAAACTTGTAGATGAATGAATTGATCCGGCATGGTACGAGGCAACATCTAGGAAGCGATGAGAAGTTAAATAAGGTACGTTACCCTATCATTGGGTGGCGTCTAGCTCTCATGCCGTTCGGACATTAGGCCTATCTCCATATCGACATCCGGCCTCCGAAATGTCCGGGACCAAGTTGTACATCTCCCTTCACAGGCCGTAAAGTTCTTCGCTCTTCGCGTTTATGTTTCTAGATGAAGAGCGCGAAGTCTAGAAATGAGCGCGTCTTCCTATTTGGCGGGGTTTCTCGGCTTAGCGCGACAACAATGGACTTAAGAAACTCTCCGTCGTGTCTCTAATTACCCTCCGGATACGGCCGTTGGGAAAGGCCATAAGTAACCACAGGGTGACTCAGACATCACGATACGGCAGCTACTTTCGCTTCGCTGCATACCTTCCTATCAAAAAAACAAAACCATGACCGTCTCGCCAACCAAGATTTTGTTGAAGAATGGCGTGCTTCTTATCCATGGAGAGGATGGCAGAGTAAAACCTCAGCGGTCGGATATATTCATCGAGGGAGACACGATTTCACAAATCAGCCCAAATGTCAGGACAGCCGGCGAGGATGTCAAAGTGTTTGACTGCGAGGGCAAGATCGTGTCTCCAGGCTTTATAAGCACACATCATCATGTATGGCAAACCGCGCTGAAGGGTCGCCATGTCGACCACACTCTACTTGAGTACTTGCCGCGAGGAAACTTCATTGGGTCATTATTCTCTACCGAAGACGCATTTTGGGGTGAACTTGGTGGCGCACTTGAAGCTATCGATGGCGGGACCACGACCATTGTGGACCACTCCAGTCTGAATGTTGGCCCAGAATTCCGTAAGACCCTTGCTCAATATAATTATAGCCAGTAGTTGACGATAAAAAACCAGCCCCTACGTTGATTCAGGCGCTTATAGCCTCCGGGCTTCGTTCTGTCTACTGCTACTGCGTTCCTAGAACGACCAGCTGAAGCCCGTTCTCTACAGCAGATGACTATACATCTTCACATGTTCTCGAAGAATGGAAATCGCTAGCGACAAAGGGCCCATACGGAGACGGGCGAGTGCAAATTGGATTCGCAGTGGACAACTTGTATCAGTCGCCCGACCAAATGAAGTTTCTCTATTCGGAGCTTCGCGCTGCAAAGGCTAAGGTTATAACATCACACGGTGCTGGCGGTCTAGCTTTCGGCAATGGTCCTTCTGTTCTCCAGATCCTGAACAACCACAACCTGCTTGGCTCAGATATACTCATCTCTCACGCCAACTTCCCAAAGGATGGCGACGCAGAGCTTGTCAAGAAGCACAACGTCTGCATCTCTGCTACTCCCAACACAGAGCTTCAGATGGGATGGCCGCCAGTCGCCCTTCACCCAGAGTTTGAAGCAAACTCCAGCCTCGGGGTTGACTGCCACAGCTGTGGCAGCAGCTTCATGCCCAATCAGATGCGACTGGGCTTGCAGTATGCCCGACTCGAACGACAAGAGAATCTTCGGAGACAGGGCAAGTGGAGCCGGCATGTCGGTCCGTCAGCTGAGCAAGCCTTCAATCTCGCTACAATTGGCGGCGCAAAGGCGATTGGCATGGAGGGTGAGGTTGGCCAGATCCGCGTTGGAGCAAAGGCAGACCTAGTAGTCTTCAGCACCGACAGCCCCGCCATGCTTCCTGCTGCTGAAGAAGACCCTATTGCAGCGGTGATTCTGCATTCGAGTGAGAGAGACGTGGAAACTGTCATCGTTGGAGGCGTCATTCGGAAGGAGAATGGAAAGTTACTACCTGTGTCATTTACCGGTCAAGTTGAGGGGGCGAGTGACCTCGGTCTTCATGGGAAAAGCATTACGTGGAAGGATGTTGCGGTGAATTTGATTCAGAGCCGGAGTAGATTGAACAACAAGGCAGAAGGTATCGACATGACGGTGGTGGAAGAGACGATTATCGACAATTTCTACATGAACCGGAAGGATATGCTTGAGCAGTCATGAGTATGTTTAGTACATACAGTTGACGATCCGCGGCTACTTGATTATTCTGCGGTCAAGGACTCAGTATCTGGCCAACTCTGACTTTCAGATTTCCGTTCACCCAAAATGAAGCACGGAATGTCTACTCCGTCTTAGAGGAGTCAATAACACGATTGGGCGCGCTGAGTAATCCGAGTGATTTTGAGCATGTCGCGAATCATAATGGACCCATACTTATCTGGTAGAGGTGTTCAAGACCACCACCAGCCATCGACGTAACTCGGCACCTCGAACATCGTCGTGAGTGAGGTCGACTTCCGGATATTCGGCTCCCGGCTCAAGCATGACTTGAACCATGGAGCAGTACATCGTGACGGAGTTAGTTGCCAGCACACGGAGTTATCACTCAAGATGCGGGGGAGCTGTCAGCCAACCCCACTTCGGCCGATCTCCGCCGCATCTAAGAGCGCCCGTGTCTATGCCGGTTGCCTTGATGCTGAGTTATCTTCATGGAGGTATTTGCTTGCGTCTAGAGGCGGATAAGGCCATTTCATTCATCTTATTTTCGGTGCAGCTCAGATTGAGTTCTGCACTGAACATCAGATCAAAGACCTCGCATGATGCCCTCGGTTCCACTTGCCATGGAATATCAACATAGCGGAGACTTAATGGCGTGATTATAACTACCGCACCCACCGCCAGTCTGAAGCAGAAACCTCCTCATCTTTAATCTTCCAGCATCAACCTAAAGCAACGAGATCCCACCAAACAACCTCCAACATGCCAGAGTCCAAGGTCATTCCGGCCTCGGCCACGCCAGTAGCAAAGCCAACGGCTACTTTCACCGGCGATGTCTACATGGAACTGATCAACCGCGACGAAAGCGCGGTCATCGCAAACGTTACCTTCACCCCATGCGCTCGGACGCATTGGCACACCCACGTTGGAGGACAGATGATTAGAGTGCTGGCCGGTAGCGGATGGGTCTGCGACAAGGGCGGCGAGGCGAAGCGAATCAACGCTGGAGATACTGTTTGGGCTCCTCCGGGCACGACTCACTGGCACGGCGCCGATGATGGAAGCATTATGACGCACTTTGTTGTTGGCATTGGAGAAACGAAGTGGCATGAGGCTGTCACCGATGAGGATTACAAGAAGCGGTCCGAATGAGTTCAGCATTTGTGAGTTTTGAAAGACTCCATCTTGAGAGCTCTCTGGAGAGTCTCTGACAGCTGGATATCTAGGGTGACGTTTGTATCTCAGATAGGACCCATCCTCACCAGCAGCCTGCATGTAGCGTCTCAGAACAACTCATTTACCAAGCTTCGCCTATCCTTGTCTCTCGTATTTTCCAGTGACTTGAATCTGCGGTGTCTGGAAAACATCCCAGTTATCAGCAGCCGCAGGGTTCCCGAAAGGTTTCAGTGTGGCGAATCGCATGCTATTTGGAAATTTTGTTAGCCAACCCTCGGCAAAGATAACAGGGTTCATCATGACTTACGTGTAGTTTCCGAGCTCAATCTGGCTTCCGTTGCCAAGTTTTCCGAACCACCAGAACTCATGGTACGACGCCTGGGTCTGAGCATTGCGGTACAGGTCAACCTGAGGGTAGGTCCAGGTGTCATCTGGGTCATAACGACTGGGGTCAAAGTATGACACGCTGCCAGCTACAACGTGGCTGGTGGCTGGGCCAATGTAGCCGTTCTGACCGGGGACGGGCGGATATTCCCATTGTCTATCGGTCCAACCAGCTTCGTAAATCTTGATACGAGTCAGCCGCCGTTCACACGTTCAACCGGATTTGGCAGTAAAACTTACGTCCCATCGGACTTCTTTGCTGCCCCAAATGAGCTTTGAGTAGATGATGGGGAAATCGGCGACGGATGGGTCGAGATTGAAAGAGTAGACACTGCTAAGGTTAGCTGGTACTTGTCCCGAGACCTGGACACATCGACTCACTAGTCTCTTTGTGTGGTGAAGGGGTACGAGGGACGATAGATCGGGCTAATCTCTGCCTTCAGGTTCGCACCGAGGCCTTCATTGGAGTTAGTCAAGTCATTGGATTGTTGACATCACCGCACAATCTCACCTAGGTAGGGCACGGAAAGTTGTTCTCCGTTGTTGCCAGAAACTATGACCTTTCCGCTGTAGATAGGCAGAGCAGACGAGTTCCAGCCAAGGCCGTTGGGGTTGGGAAAGTTGACACTTTACACCATTAGCTCTTTGCATCATAGAACATCCTTTTACAATGTGCATCTCACCTGACAGTTTTGCTCTCGCCTGGCTTCAAAGTGAAGTCTCTTGGCAAAGACACCTCAACAGGAAGACTCTTGGGCGTCAACTCTGTAAAGCTCTTGAGTCTTTTCTCGCCACCCCAGGGTGCGACGAATGGGTACCAGCCAAGGATTTCCACCCCAGCGGCAGCTTCATACGAGAGCTTGTAGCTCACATCCTTGGCACCATTATTGGTTACGGTCACGTCGTGGTAACGACTGAAGTAATGGGTGTCATTGAGCGCGATTTTCTCAAAGGCGATGTCGGTGGTGTAGTTGACAATCTTGAAGGCGTTGATGAGACCGTTTCCAACTTGGGCAACCGATGCCGAGAAGCCGTAGTCGGTTGCGGTTCCATCGGACCAGGGGAGAGAGGTTCCGCTGGCGATGATTCTTTGGTGCAGTGTCTTGGCGAAGCCCTTGCCTGGAAAATACAATGATCAGTTACAATCCAGTCATTGAGACCGATTGAGAGGACTTACCATGTACAGATCGGCCGCCGTGGGCACTGATAAAGAGTGCAGCTACGCCAGCTACGTAAGGTGTGGCCATCGAGGTCCCGGACAGCAGCGCATAGGTATCATCAAGATAGGTACTGAAGATCTAAGGCAATGTTAGTATGTCTAGCAGGGAGGTGCTTAAGACTGGTAAGACTGACTTGACCACCAGGAGCAGCAATGTCGGGCTTAATGTCGAGGTCGTTTGAAGCACCCCAGGAAGTGAAAGTGTTTGGTCGACCACCGGCGGGGTATTCTAAGCCAACAACCTGCTCGGGGTTGAGAGAAAAGTCCGCAGTAACATTGCCGCCGGCTTGAACCGTCTCAATGATGGCCTTACCAGCTGCGGCGGTGATGAGGCCAATCAGACCAACATCATCATCGGTTCCGGGTGTGATGATGGGGTTTTCGTTGTTGTAAAACAAGATGTACTCGGCACCAAGGGCAACTAGGTTTGCTTGCTTAGTTGCGAAAGTGCAAGTCCCTCTTCTTACCAAGGGAATAACACCCTTGAGGCTGCGCGTGCCGTTAGGGTAGGGTTCGCAGCCGTCCGCAGGATCGGTGATGTCGAAGTTCAGAGGAACAACCGGCCAATCAACGATATCGGATGAGAAATAGTAAGTTGAAGGCAAGTATCCAGCCTGTTTGATGTCAGTTATCATGGCATGAGATCCACAAACGAAGGCCGCACCTTGACGGTCTCAGTGTTGCCGTCGAGAACCGATGTCAACTCGAATGGCGAGGCAGGATACTTCTCGGTCTCCACAGAGGCCACGGCAAGAACATTCTTGCCAGAGGAACCACTGCTTCCGAAGAAAGCACCGGCAGCACCCGAGTTGCCGTTGGCAATCGTGACTACGACCCCTTCGTCGACCAAGCGAGAAGCGATCTCAGCCCACGCGTTTGTAGACCAGCCACCTGGACCACCAATACTGGCAGTGATAATGTCAACCTGCTTCAATGTCAGTACTTGCGTGATTTTTCTCAAGATCTAGATGATCCTTACGCCGTCGGAGTAGGCTCGAAGGAAAGCCTCAATGAGAGTAGCATCATCCGTAGCATCCTGCCGCAAGTCAGAAAACAACAGCAAGTGTGCAGGGGCACAGATGTCAAGCTCACCAGTTGAGCGAAGACCTTGTATGAGTAAAGTGACGCCTCAGGGGCAACACCACTCCAGCTATAAAGGAGAATCATTAGTCTCTTATGCAAAGAATTTTCTAGTAGCCTTACAAGTCATTCTTTCCAGCAATGATTCCTGCAACATGGGTCCCTGTGCGGTGGTCAGATTCGGCTCTGGTACGAAGGGTCAAACGTCTTCATACCATGTCCAAGCTGATCCAACGGATCATCATCTGGGGTCTTGTCTTCGTAGGGCCAGACTACGCATGTTTGTCAGAATGCTCGCGTCTCGCACCTGACTCTGAGACTTACTGCCGTTGCCGACGAGATCGTAACCACCAGCGACCTTGAAACCCGGGCCGAAGCCACCTCCCAGCTGTGTGATGTTTAGCACTCGAAAAATTGAAGCGGATGATAAGAGCAAGTAACTCACAGCGGGGTGTGTGTACCAAGTTCCAGAGTCAACAACGCCGACTTTGACTCCCTGCCCAAAAATGCCCTTGTCGTGAAGCTTGCTCACGCCTGTGGTGTTGTGCGGGCTGTAGTCACCAGCAGCAGCCTCCTCGATCGACTTGAGGCCCTCAACAGGAGACAAACTGACACGGGTATTTTGCCAGACGCGAGCGACACCAGCTAGGTTCTGGAGACTGTCGATGTTGTGGGTGTCGGTCTCAATGCTGGCGCCAGAGAAGATGTCGCTCTCAAAGTTCTTGACGACCTTAATATCGGCCTCGAGGGCAACGTCGCGACGGGCTTTGGCTGATCCCTAATTCGAACATTAGTCCAGGCTTCTGAGTTCCCGAGTCAAAATTGCATTGACATACCGAGGCATACTCGATGATGTAGCTCTTGGCAATAGGGACAGTAGCGTTGTTAGTCTCATCTGCACCCTCTGGAGCTTGACGAGTAGCGAAAGACTGTGCACTCCCCAGAACGGGAAGCGCAAGGAGGCTGGCAATGCTCAGCAGATGCATTATGAGTGTTCACTCAAGATATTGCGCCGCTTGAAGCTCTGTCTCTTGAATAGCAAAAGCCGCACCGGTGGGATGAAGCTCTTATAGTCGCGACTTATTGACGGCTCTGGTGACATTCACATCGCCTCAACCGAAATCCGGCTGCGACTCTTTGTTGC